TATGTAACGAGTAGGACACTACATGTTAACAACCTAATAAAGTTTTATGACGAGACTGTCAAAGGAAAAAAAAAAAAATATGTAAAAACGATTTTATATAATAGAAAGTAAAAATTAATATAACACCGATGGATATTGATATCTACCCTTATATGAAGTCATAATTATGCATCATTTTACTTATCGTTATTAATTTAAAATTTTACCGATGTTTAACTTTTTTTATTTATTTTTTTTTGTGCTTATAAATTTTTTTTCTTGCTCAAGTTTAATTACAAATCTTTTTCTTGTTATTCAGCTCTTTTTCTTGCTTCTACATGACTTGTCTTTTGTTGTACATGAATCTTTTTTTCTTGATTCTTATTTTAGTTCTTTTTTTGATTTTTTACTAACGAAATTCTTTCTTCACGTGATACTTTCTCTTCGCAGCTTTCCTTCTTTCAGTGTGGCTCTTTTCTCTTTGCGGCTTTTTTCATTGATGTGGCTCTTTTCTCTTGTGACACTCTTTATGGCTCTTTTGATATTGGTCTTTACTCTTCGTGGGTCTTTTCTTTTTATGTCGCAATTTCTATTCATAGCTCTTTGCTCTTCACGTGACACTTTCTATTCTAATTATTCTTCTTTCGGCATGACTCTTTTCTCTTTGCGGCTTTTTTCATTGGTGTGGCTCTTCTCTCTTTTGATACTCTTTACGGCTCTTTTGGTGTGGTTCTTTACTCTTCGTGGGTCTTTTCTTTTTATGTCGCACATTCTATTCATGGCTCTTTGCTCTTCACGTGATATTTTCTATTCGAACTCTTCTTCTTTTGGCATGGCTTTTTTCTCTTTGCGGCTTTTTTCAATAGCGTGGCTCTTTTTTCTTGTGATACTCTTCATAGCTCTTTTGGTGTGGCTCTTCTCTTAATGTGATACTTTCTCTTGGAATGGCTCTTTCTTTACAGCTTTTTTTTGTTGGCATGACTTTTTTCTTGTGGCTCTCTTCACAGCTTTTTCTTTTGATGTGGCTCTTTTGGCATGACACTTTTTTTCTTGGGCATGACTTTTTCTCTTTATGACTTTTTTGCATAGCTCTTTTCTCATCGCGGTTTATTTCTCTTCATATGGCTCCTTTCTCTTTTTTTTGGCGATCTTTTTCTTTTAATTGTTGTTTTTTTTAGTTTAGTTTAGCACTTTCTTTACGTTTTTTTTCCTATTGGCATGGCTCTTTTCTCTTCGCAGCTTTTTCTTCATGTGGATCTTTCTTCGTGCTACTTTTTCTTGTGTGGCTTTTTTTCCTTTTTAATAGTAATTTTAGTAATTTCATTTAATGCTTGTCTTTGCCAAATTAATTTAACTCAAAAACTTTTTTTTAGATGTCTAAAATTCATTATTTTGACGAATTTAATGTGAGCTATGAACTTTTGGAAGATGGTACCATTCTTGTTCCATCTAAACTTATAGCAGCAGATGACTTATCAGTAAATGAAAATGAGGAAGATCTTGTATCTGAAAATAGTAGCACAGATAATGAACCTAAAGATAGTCCTCTGAAAGAAATTTATGTTGAACAGACATTTACCTCCTTTGACATATTTGAACAATGTCTAAAACATTATTCAACTAGAATGGGATTTGAAACGAAAATAGTGCGAGCTGAAAAGGAAAATAATATTTTTGTTCATAAGACATATAAATATAGGCATAGTAGAAAATACTTACCTAAGAAAAAGTTAGACCCTACTCAAAATCGAGATCGAGAATCTGTTCGTATTGAGTGTGAATTTATTTTGAATGCCTCATATTAGAAACGCATGAACCTTGTCTTTGTTAATAAATTTACTGAGGATCATAATCATGTATTAAATGAAGAAGAATTGCATTTGCAATTTTCACCGTCTTTGCATAAGATATCTGATAATATTAAAGAAGAGATCCAGTTTTATGTTCAAGAATGTCAATTAGGGGCGACTGTCTTAAAACGAATATTGCGAAATAAATTTCCTGATCAAGAAATTTACAATTGAGATCTTTACAATATAATTTGCAATTACAGAGTTGGAGCTCAGATTAAAAATGATGCCTCAACTTTATATGAATATCTTTCAAAAAAGCAACAAAAAAATCCTGACTGGTACTTTAAGGTAGACTTTGAAGGCATTGATAATAGGCTTTCCAGGATTTTTTAGATGTCACCTGATCAGAGATGTTTATGGACTCAGTTTCATGATGTCATTATTAATGACAACACATGCAAGACGAACAAATATATGATGCCTTTAAGTATTTTTATTGTAATTGATTCAAATAACAGAAGTCGTATTGCAGCTATAGCTGTAGTTTCTGATGAGACAGTGTCAACTTATGAATGGATCTTAGAACAAACTAAATTGGCTACAAATGGCCTTCAACCAAAAATGATTTTCACGGATGCTGATTCAGCGATGCAAGTAGCTATAACAAATGAGTATTCTGAAGCTATTGTTAGATATTGTGCATTTCACATTCAGCAAAATCTAGTTAAAAAGCTTAAAAAAAAGCTTAATAATGAGTGGAATAATTTTATTTCTGATTTTTATGCTTTGAGAAATTCTCTTGTAGTATCTGAATTTGATCGTCATTAGATAAAATTAATGGATGATTATTCTGAGGTTCAAAGTTATTGTAATCGTGTTTTATATTCAACTAAAGAATGTTGGGCACATGCATTCACAAAGCGCAAATTTTTAGCAAATACACATTCTTATCATATTTTCGCCTATGAGTATTATTTCAGAGTTTGGCCTAAATTAAGCTTAATTTGAGCCAAAATTTGAAATAACACTCATACGTGTTATTACGCAAAAATATGATAACAACTTCTCAATAAACTTTGAACATACGAACCTTAATTTGATCGAACCATGCAGCCAATACTTGTAATTAAGATCATCAAGAAATCAATTTTAGTGCTGTTCTGCAAAAAATTAAATAATAAATTTAATAAAAATCTGTGTAAATCTTCGGGTCTGCCACTGACAGATGCAGAAATTAAATGCAATTCTGCACAAATCTGTAAATTTTCAAAATTTTGCAGATTTTTATTAAAAATTTTATAAAAATCTGCACTTTTTTTGTATTTTTACAGATCTGTGCAGATTTATACCTATTTTACTTTTCAGATGATAGGCATATAAAACTATGATACTAAACACAATTTATGAAAGTTAACATTCTTATAATCCCTCTAATACCTACTCGAATCCTAACTATTAAAAACAGATAACTTATAAAAAATTGAATTTTACAAGCCTACATTAACCTTAAGTACTAAATATAGTTTTCATCCAAATCTGATCTGTCGCATCGATACATAGTACTATTTTACTGAATATTTTTTTCCTAACTACGTATACTTAAATCTGATATTTTAAAAAAAAAGAAAAGAAAAAAATCATGATCATACAATTATATATATGCTAACCAAAGTTCATAAATTGCAATATAAGCAACATAAACATCCTCCCGTTACTTAACCTTTTGCCTTAATACAATCATTTTTTCAAAGATTCAGTTTCAACATATTATTGAATAACATAAACTTGTGACAATATATATTCATAAATTGCAATCTAAATATTAATGCCTTTCCATTACTTAACCTTTTGTTTTTAGCTTCATAACTATTCTTTCAAAGGACAGTTTCGAGAATCATGATATCATGATTTACACAAAGTACATTGACGTTTGTTTTTCTTTTTTGATCCAAACTCTGAAATTTCATCTTGATTATTTGAACGAACAAGCTTGTTATCCAGATTCTCAATAGCAGACAAATATCTCTTATTTGTAGGGCACCCCTTGCCTTTATGTTGAGAAGGGTTTGAAATTATAAGACTATTAATTTCCTGACCTATGCCTTGTTCAGATAAATTTGAAGCAGTGTCACTACTTTGTGCTGAAACTTGTTCGTCAATAAAATGTTGCAGAAGATCCTCTAAAACCTTATTTGTACTATTCATAATCGCGATATTTAATGCTTTTTTACAAATTCCTAGACCATGACCATAAGAAACTTTTTTTGAATCTAATTTTACGGCAATTTTACTATTAACTTCTTGTTCACGAATCCTTTCTAATACTTCAAATATTATAGTTGGGAGTAATTTACCTTTACTTTGTACTAGCTGAATAGATAATTCCTGATCACTATCAAATGAAGTAATACTTTCATTAGAATACCAACGAGAAGGTATTAACTTTATATTAAAAAGTGTATTTTTTAATTGAATCATTATGGAAAAAAAATGTCGACAGACAAATCTAGCATATATCAAATATAAACATGTACAATAATATGCATCATCATCAAGTAAGATAACAAATTGTGAATAGTTTGTAGTACTTTAGATATACTTAACCTTCCAGACTTCGATCACTTCACTATTAGCATAATCCTCTAAAGCCATATTTAATAAGATCTGTAGCTCCTCATAGTCATCTTCTATAAACCCTACTTTATGATCTAATTGCTAACTAGTATTAACATTAAGCTCATTATCACATAGTAAAGACCTATATAGAAGGCTTTCTAATATTTGTTTCCATTGTAAAGCTAACAAATTTGGTATAAGATATTTTACACACATATTATCAATTTCCTTAAAAATTGTATTAGAAACATGCGGAAGTCCAGTGGTAGAGTTCATGTTTCTAAATTCTTATAACTTTGTATACTTAATCTCATCTTTAAGTCGCAAATCTATTCCAGCCTAAAGTTGATATAAAGAATTTCCTGAGTTTGCTTCTAACTTTATAACACGATTTATACTTTCGACATATTGTATCAAATGTGTATTTGCTAAAAATTTGTGCTTTATGAATGCATATGCCTAACATTCTTTAGTTGAATATAAAACACGATTACAATAACTTTGAACCTCAGAATAATTATCTATTAATTTTATCCAATGATGATCAAATTCAAATACTACAAGAGAATTTCTCAAAGTATAAAAATCAGAAATAAAATTATTCCACTCATTATTAAGCTTTTTTTTAAGCTTTTTAACTAGATTTTGCCAAATGTGAAATGCACAATATTTAATAATAGCTTCAGGATACTCATTTGTTATAGCTACTTGCATCACTGGATCAACATCTATAAAAATCATTTTTAGTTGAAGGCCATTTGTAGCCAATTTAGTTTGTTCTAAGATCTATTTATAAGTTGACACTGTCTCATCAGAAACTACAGCTGTAGCTGCAATACGACTTCTGTTATTTGAATTAATTACAATAAAAATACTTAAAGGCATCATATATTTGTTTGTCTTGCATGTGTTGTTATTAATAATGATATCATAAAACCGAGTTCATAAATGTCTCTGATCAGATGACATTCAAAAAATCCTGGAAAGCCTATTATCAATGCCTTCAAAGTCTACTTTAAAGTACTAGTCAGGATTTTCTTGTTGCTTTTTTGAAAGATATTCATATAAAGTTGAGGTATCATTATTAATCTGAGCTCCAGCTCTGTAATTGCAAATCATATTGTAAAGATCTCAATTATAAATTTCTTGATCAGGAAATTTATTTTGCAATATTCGTTTTAAGACAGTTGACTCTAATTGACATTCCTGAACATAAAACTGGATCTCTTCTTTAATATTATCAGGTATCTTATGCAAAGACAGTAAAAATTGCAAATGCAATTCTTCTTCATTTAATACATAATTATGATCCTCAGTAAATTTATTAACAAAGACAAGGTTTATGTGTTTCTGATATGAGGCATTTAAAGTAAATTTATACTCAATACGAACAGATTCTCGATCTTGATTTTGGGTAGGGTCTAACTTTTTCTTAGGTAAGTATTTTCCACTATGCCTACATTTATATGTCTTATGAACGAAAATATTATTTTTGTTTTCAGCTCGCACTATTTTCATTTCAAATCCTATTCTAGTTAAATAATGTTTTAGACATTGTTCAAGTATGTCAAAGGAGGTAAATGTCTGTTCAATATAAATTTCTTTCAGAGGACTATCTTCAGGTTCATTATCTGTACTACTATTTTCAGATACAAGATCCTCCTCATTTTTATTTACTGATAAGTCATCTGCTACTATAAGTTTAGATAGAACAAGAATAGTGCCATCTTCTGAAAGTTCATAGCCCATATTAAATTTATCAAAATAATGAATTTTAGACATCTAAAAAAAGTTTTTGAGTTAAATTAATTTGGCAAAGACAAGCATTAAATGGAATTACTAAAATTACTATTAAAAAGGAAAAAAAGCCATACAAGAAAAAGTAGCACGAAGAAAGATCCACACAAAGAAAAAGCTGCGAAGAGAAAAGAGCTACACTAATAGGAAAAAAAAAATATAAAGAAAGTGCTAAACTAAACTAAAAAAAACAACTATTAAAAGAAAAAGATTGCCAAAAAAAAGAGAAAGGAGCTATGTAAAGAGAAATAAACTGCGATGAGAAAAGAGCCATGCAAAAAAGTCATAAAGAGAAAAAGTCATGCCCAAGAAAAAAAAGTGTCATGCCAAAAGAGCCACATCAAAGGAAAAAGCTGTGAAGAGAGCTACAAAAAAAAGTCATGCCAACAAAAAAAAAGCCGTAAAGAAAGAGCTATTCTAAGAGAAAGTATTACATTAAGAGAAGACCATGAAAAGAGAAAAGCTATACCAAAAGAGCCATGAAGAGTATCACAAGAAAAAAGAGCCATGCCAATGAAAAAAGCCGCAAAGAGAAAAAAGCCACACCAAAAGAAGAAGAGTTCGAATAGAAAATATCACGTGAAGAGCAAAGAGCTATGAATAGAATGTGTGATATAAAAAGAAAAGACCTACGAAGAGTAAAGAACTACACCAAAAGAGCTGTAAAGAGTATCAAAAAAGAAAAGAGACACACCAATGAAAAAAGCCGCAAAGAGAAAAGAGTCATGCCGAAAGAAGAATAATTAGAATAGAAAGTGTCATGTGAAGAGCAAAGAGCTATGAATAGAAATTGCAACATAAAAAGAAAAGACCTATAAAGAGTAAAGACTAATATCAAAAGAGCCGTAAAGAGTGTCA